GCAAACCCCTTAACCCGCTCCTAGCACCCCTATCCGAGGTACTTTGGTGCGCAGCAACGAAGATTGATTTCATTTGTAGATAAGGGGGTCTGCGGCAATAGTTAGCATAATTACTTTGGTTTTGGTGGGTTGTTGTCGCTGTAGACAAGGTTGAAAGGGTGATAGGCAATACTTAGCATGCTTAGTTTGGGTTTAATGGTTTGATGTAATTGCAGGCAGGGAGCGTTAAGCAATACTTAGCATGCTTAGTTTGGGTTTATTGGGTTGATGTAATTGCAGGCAGGGAGTGTTAGGCAATACTTAGGATGCTTCGTCTGGGATTTATTGGGTTGATGTTTATGTAGGTTGTTGTAGACAGAGGCTGTTAGGCAATACTTAACATGATTAGTTTGCTTTTGACGGGTTTATGTCTTTGCAGATGATTTGAAGGGAGCTAACGAAGAGAAAAAACATAGATCTTTGGGGGGGTAGCATATATATATATATATAGTGCCGTGTTGCATGTTAGTACCTCCCCCCCTGGTATCCCCCCTCCCTGTCATGGCATACACCCGAAATCCTCGTGAGGGTCGTCACTTTTATCTCAAAAGTGCCAACAGTCACAGGGATGGGCCCCCCAAACCCGCGATCTTCGTGAGTGTTGTCCAAAGTGGCCACACTCACCTGGACGGGCCACGGTTTCGCTGACCCTCAACCCCAGACCCTATCATATCTATACACCTAAACCCTAAACAACCCCACCACCCACTTACTACTTACACCACACAGGGGGTGCGGGTGCGAACCCTAAACCCTAAACCCAACACCCACCACCACACCACAGGGAGGGGGGAAGGGGTCAAACACTAAACTCGCTAAACCTGAAACCCACAACCCACCACCGCACCACACCACGGAAAAGAGAGGGGTTTCATAACCCAAAACCCACCACCACAGGGGGAACCCTAAACCCAACACCCTCCGGGAGGGGGGAAGGGGTTAAACCCTAAACTTGAGACCCACAACCCACCACCCCACACCACAGGGGGGGAGAGGGGGAGTTTAATAACCCAAAATCCACCACCACACCACAGGCGACGACGGGGGGCCAAACGTTGAAAGCGCAGTGAGGGAAGCCCTGCGTCCTCCCAAGGCGTGCAGTGCAACTGGCATTGCTGACAATGCGTTCTGCTGCATTTAAGCGTGATCTGATGCTGTTGTAGATTAGTCAACAGCGGACAACTTCTTCCTTTGGGATACAGGTGAGCCTGCAGCTGGCTTCCCCGAAGTGCGGACGTCACTTTACGTTTGGTTTTGCAAGGGATGGGACAGCTTTTTGTTGCTGGTTCAATCCCATTTCCTTTGTGCGAGTCCATGCTGGCTTATGCCAGATTTCTGGTCCGCTTGCTCTTCAATTCATGCATGCACACGGCTGCGTCTCACCCGGAGTCTTTACCATGAAAGCGTGATCGCGCGATGTATGTACGTACGTACGTACGTACGTATGTATGTATGTATGTATGTCTGTATGTATGATACATACATATATATATATATATGGTGTATATATATATGGTCACCCCCCCCCCATGACAGACCGTCCCCTTCAAAACATCGCTCCCACCGGCGTGTTCGTGCTTTTTCCGGGGTATCGAGTTTGAGCCCTCCGAACGTATCTGTGGAACCACCAAAAGACTGAGACCAGAAAGCCAAAAACCAAAGTTTCATGTGTCTGTGGAACCCCTGATTTCGTCTGTCCAGAACGACACTAGAGCCAAAACCAAAAAACCAAAAAACCAAAGTTTCACGGAGAATGCAGGGACAGTTTTGGTTTTTTGGTTTTTTGGATTTTTGGTTTTTTGGTTTTTTGGATTTTTGTTTTTTTGGTTTTTTGGTTTCGCTATGTAAAAACCAAAAAACCAAAAAACCAAAAATCCAAAAAACCAAAAAACCAAAAAACCAAAAATCCAAAAAACCAAAACTGCTCCGGCATTCTCCGTGAAACTTTGGTTTTTTGGTTTTTTGGTTTTGGGTGCATCCTTGTGTCAGTCACGTCCTTTGCCCCTGCCCACAGGCTGTTTGGAAAGTCCTCCAAAGCCACGTCCCCCGCTTCGGCTCGGGAACTCGAGAACTGGGGCAATTCCAATACGAAAGTCAAAAGTAAGACTACTGCAAATATTCCGGCGAATACACGTCATCATATGCATATGAGTATTAATGCCAATACTTTCACTAATACGAATGCCAATATTTCTACTTGTATCACTATTCATATAAGTATTGATACTCCTACGAAGCTAACACACATTCTCTGATCATACTATCATCAATACTAATACTGACATTGATAACTTGTTGAATATTCAAGATAATACCAGCATTAACACTAACGTTGACATTTATATTAATGCTTTTACTACGAATATGCACATTACTACTACGATTATTAAGATTAATACTCCTACTCCTACCAATAGTCATATTCATATTGATATTTATGCCAATACTAGCAGACACCTGCGTATACTAATCTCCGCAGATATACATACCACTATCTGAAAAGCAAATATATCAATGCATTCGTGTACTAACGTAGTATATTCGTATTTGTCATATACCCAGTTTCCCAGGTGACAATATACTACTTGTTAACGTCTGATTATACTGTATTGATATGCTAACTTGCTAAGACACGAATACTGTAATATGCAAGTATACTATTGGCAATAGTATAAAACATATGGATATACCAAAAAAGTTGTTAGATAATATACAAATATGGTGAATGAAGTAGCATACCAGGGTACTAATACACTAATATGTTAATAATCGAAGATAATGGCACACCAATATACCAATGTACTCATGCACGAACGTACGCATGCATTGATATACTAAGAGCATACAAACATACAGGTATACAAACATATTACTGTTCGAATACATTATAATGTGTTGGTATACTAAGCTGTTTATATAATCTATCAGTATACTAACATAATATATCAAAACTAATTATAGTATTGATTTGCATACTAGCTCGTCCGCGAATATTATACTGATTTTAAATTCATCATTAAGACTGAATAAAACTGACATCGACATTGGCACTGGCATTAACACTAATTATCACTAAATATGCTAGTGTACTAATGTACGAATACTGTAGAAGGCAAGTACACTGACATGTTCACATGCTATTATGCCAACATATTGATATACCTATAAGCTATTAGGTAATATACGAATAAAGAAAATGTAGTAATAGACCACTATAATAATATACTAATATACTAATACGTTAACATACGAATATCATAATACACCAATATACTAATGTACTCATGCACCAATGTACAAATATATTCACGCAATCTTCAACTATGCAAATATACTATTTTTCGAATACATTACTGTATTACTGTATTAAGCTCAAAATGTACGAATCAATCAGTATTTTCACATATCAAAACTATTTCTAATACTGATACTAATACCAGCACTTCTGTGAATAATAAACAGATACTAAAACCAGCATTCAGACTGATAGTAATACTAACACGAGTACTATTACTGACATTGACATCGACACTGGCACTAGCACCAGCACGAACATAATCACGAGTTCATATTTACTATTATCGATATGTATACTTTTATTCAATACTAATACTAATGCTGATGCTAATACTAACACTAGATACCAATACAATACTAGTACTAAACCAATACCCATCCTAATATCAGTACTACCACAAAACTATTACTCATATGTACACTGATACCAGGATTAGGACTACTACAAACAATGACAGCAGTACTAAGACTAGATCCAAGAACAATACATATTAATCCTAACACTAATACTAGTAACTAGTATTAATACTAGCTACTAATTTGTCATACTCATACTCATACCAATACTAATGTCACCACTACTACTACTGCTGCTGCTGCTACTACTACTGCTACTACTACGATTACTACTACTACTACTACTACTACTACTGCTACTACTACTACTACTACTACTACTAATAGTACACATACTTAATACCAAAACTAGTAATGATACTCATACTAGTCACTAATACTAATACTAATACTAATACTCATACTAATACTAATACTAATACTCATACTCATACTAATACTAATACCAATACTAATGCTACCACTACTACTACTGTGCGACAAGTATTGCTAGTACCACGACTACTACTACTAATATCAATACATATACTTAATGCTAATGCTAATAGTAATACTAATTCGAGTACTATTACTAATACTAAACCAATACTCATCCTAATATCAATACTACTACAAAACTAATACTAATGCTAACACTGATACAAGAATTAAGATCTACACACAGTAATAACGGTACGAAGAGCAGAACTAAGATTAAGATTGGGGCTAGGAGCGTTGCATGCATGTGAAGAAATTTCCAAAAGTTGCCAACCATCTAAATGAACATGTTGGAATTGAGTTTGGGAGAAGTGTCTGTCGCCTATCCGTTGACAGATCCTGCCTGGGGACGAACGCCACCCTTCCCCTTCCCCACGACGGTCTGTCATGGGGGGGGGGGGTGAGCATATATATCTATATATATATGTACAGATATATTCTTTATCTGCATATGCATATGTATGTATATATACATATAGGCATTACTTATCCTCTTGTATTCATGTATTGCACTATGCATGCACAACATATGGTACCTGCTTGGGCGTCGAAAACCATAATTAATGCCGAACTGCTGCATGCGCAGCACGCGCGCGAGCGGCGCTACTGTAATTACCAAGATGCCGAGAAGCTGATGGAACTGTCAACCCCACAAGGCCGGTAAGCCCAGCTGTCAAGGTGGGAGTGAGCTCTGTGCAATGGCTCCCAACCGTTACAATCATTGACTACACCAGCTTATGGCTCAAAGCATGCACCAGAAATGCCCAAGCGAAGGCTCCTCAAAGCTGCGCAGCCCCTTAGTCCTTACGAGCGAAAACCTAGGCCCGGACTGACGAAGGCTTTAAGCTGTCCTTCCGTGAGAGAAAAGGAATCCAGCTCCTGCATGCAATTTGGCTAAGACGGCCTTAGCAAAGGTATAATACTTCAGTGAGCCAAACATGCGTGAACCGACATGTATGCTTCATGTCTTGACGGCAAAACTGCCCAACGTTGTCTCCTGCGCGAGGTGGAGGTGATGCTGCATTGAGGAGCCTAGCACGACACGAGGGGCACCGTATTTTCCTCGCTGTGCCTTGATTCGAGGGTGCCACTGATGTTCCGGAAAGTGCTCCGCACGGCTCCCTCAACCTATGAAGTTACAAAGTCAAACGATATGGAAAGCTTCAAAGTGTGCACCGGGGGCAAAGCCAAGCGCTCTGCGTCACGCGATGCATTTGCCTTTCGAGACCGATCAAAAGGATCAAATTCCCATCCCTACAACGAGCGATTCCATTGTAACTTCGTGGTTTCGCTGCGGGCGGCACACTGCCCCCAAGCCACGACCCGCTCCCAACCCTGGTGCGCCCTAGCGCCCACTGAGGAAAAACATGCATGGACAGCACGATCAGGTTCGGCCGATGCGATCACCTAAACCGGAAGCCGAGCTTGTTAGCTTCTCGCTTTGCATGAGTCAGTCCTGGATGCAAAGAAGAGAACATTGCCGTGCGCTAACGACGTGCCAGATCCAGGTAATCCCTCCGGCTTTCGCTCTCACGAGGTTAACCCTTTCACACATTTCAAGTCTGGCCTGGTTTCGTGTGTGAAGCTTCACGTTAATATGTGCTTACACAGTAAGATCTGCACATCAGCTCTGTCCCGACAGACTGAACAGATGTCCATCTCAGCTCTGGCTTTGTCAGGGCGGAAAATCGCATAATTACTGAAACGTTCCCCTGCATGGGCGTCGCGGCCCACAACATTCATGCGTAGTCTTGTCTTTTCCGACCTCAAGTACATGTCCCGAGACCTGCGGATGCGCGATCTCTGTTTTTTGTCGTGATGACTTCTTGTGTTCGTTTGCTTCAGGAATGTGGCATGCCCGTGTCGTGCCCTTCTCCACATCGACCTAAAGCAGCTCTTTGCATGCACTTCTGTTTACATCGTTTCACCATTCTTTACAAGCCACCTCGCTTCCGTCTCGGTTGTCCGGAGAGCAGTGTGAAACCCAGATGCGCTACGTCCTGTCATCAGCACTCATGCCGCTCGCAGTGACGTCTCCATTATACCTCCTTCCACTTGATTTGCCACTGCATCTGTAGTCTACAAGCGCAGTTGCCCAGACCGTTTTGGCAAGACCATCTGCATGTGGGAGGATTCTGCAGGATCTCAAATCCTCTGACCGGGAACCACAACGACAGACCCGCACCTCGTCTGAAGACCAGAACAAGCTCTCAGAGGGAGCCTGCCGTGTTACGGGATTCTTTTCAAAGGCTTTGACCACTTCAAGTTGTCAGGAGTCAGCACTTGGTACCTGCCTGCAGCAGCAGCGTGGTGAGGGTGGAAGCGGCAACAGAAAGGATCCGCGAGCTTGCAAGCAACTCTTCTGCCTCAGCCATCCAGGAGCGTCAACGACTCTCACGCAGTCCGGACTTGGGTTATGGCTGTCATGCCGGCTGGCTTCGTGTCACTGGACCTTAAACATGCTTGAGCACTGCGAAGAATCAGGCACTGCCTCCCTTACGTGAAGGTCAGGGCGTTGAAGGTGGTGGCTTCGGGGACAGCGAGATGCCCGCAAAGACTGTGGCACCCTCAGTGCAACTTAAGATGTTCGAAACGCTGGAAATCGGGCCTCCTAGGGCCTAAGGCCAGAGCAACGAGGAAAAGACCAGCAGCACCTTCCGTCCGTTCCAACAGCATCAAGGAGAACAATCGCAAAGTCTCGGGAACGGGTCTCTTGCCCCTGAACATCCCCTTATTGCCTCGTGCTCTCGAGAAAAAATTCTGTTTGCCCTTTCACCGGCATAAATGGCATAAATGTCATGCACCCGGTCTTGCTGGTCTGACAAACATGTCGACGAGCTGGTCTTGAACGCCGGGCAAGAGACGTGCTGGGAAGGACTGGAACAAGCATCCAAGATGTTCGAATCACATTTCTGGGAACACGTGGACGAGGCAAGCCCAAGGAGATCTACTGGAACCGCAAGTTATGGGGACGCCGCCGTGGGAGAGCGGCGGGGGGTGGGGGATAGGCAGATACGTGCCGAACTACGTGAGGAATTTGCTTTCTGACCACTGTAGCCGAATGCAGTCTCTTGGAAGGGGCGGTGTGGTGGGAGTGCGGTGGTGGTGGGCGATGGTGGTGGTGGTATGGATGGCGCAAGGTGCGCCATAAACACTCCAAGACTGGAGTGCATGCTGAAGGATTGAGCGATGCACCCACTATAAAGTTGCAGGTGTCCGGAGCTGGGTTTGGGATTCGGGATTCAAGGTTTTCTATCTAAGATGACTGGTGGACCTTCTAAGGCTTTGCTGACTATGCTGTAACTGTTTTTCCGGCTCTGTCAAGGCTTAGGCATTCCTTGTATGACGCCGAGTATGACATCGAGTAAGCTAGCGCAAAATGTGACTTGGTACCGAGCTGGGCACATACCAAAAGAAGTGGGACACCGGTGCCTCAGCCCGGTGCCTCCAGACCTTCGGTGTTGATTTGTTTAAGATGCTGAGATCGACCAGACCCGAGAGGAGAAGTCACAGGTCTACCAAAGCGCAAAGCTTTACCCATGCACGCCCGCAGGAGCTAGCAGCTGCTTGTAGCAGGATTGAGATCGACAAACTCAGGACGGGATTCTGTACATAGGGTGACGGGATGTTCAAGAAACAGTGTTCAACGCATGAAACGCTGTCTTCAGAAAATGTGCACATTTTCAGAAATATGGAACACGGAAAGATTTGTCAGAAACAACACCCGATTTTGCAAAAACAAGCATTGGTTTTCGGACATATAAAAACGCCAACAGTCGTCAGCATGGGCTCTAAACCCTAAGCCCTACACCCCATGCGGTTATACCAAGACTGGGAATGCATATGGCCCTCAACCCTAACCCTAAACTCAAAACTCCTAAACCCTAAACCCTAACCCTTAACCCCATGCATGCATACCAAGCCTGGAAAGGCAGAGGCTCAAACCCTAAATCCTAAACCCTAATTCCTGAACCCTAAACCCCATGTACGCCTTCTTCTGTCGGGGGGGGGCGGGGACGCATGACTTCTGACAAAGGCTTAAATCTCTTCTGACAAATGCTGCATATTTCTTAAAAATCCAAACTACATTTCTGAAAATCTGAGAATTGTATCTCATAAACTGCTCCATATTTCTATTTCTGAGCATGGTGTCGTGAAAATACCGCACCCCCCCCCTCCCCGAAGATCTACGCTTTCGTGGTTCTTGGAGCATGAGGCGCGGGAAATACTGTAATGCTCGAAAAACTCCACAATTCCCAACATTAGAACTCACGCAAAGCTGTACTGCTCAAAACCCTCCAAAAATTCCAAAATTCTGGCATCTACGGCCAGGCCAGGGCCACATTCCTTAAAATTTTGGATTTTTTGAGCATTACAGTGTTTTCAGGGCTTGGGCTTGCCCAAGCGGTATTTTTTTGAGCATTACAATGTTCTGTGAGGTTCCGGCCACGAAACACTGCTATGCTCACGTTTTGTGCGTTTTGAGGCTGTTTTAGCATTACGGTGTTTTGTGACACTCAGGCCGCGAAACACTGCTATGCTCAAGTTTTGTGAGTTTTGAGGCTGTGAAAAGCTTGTTTCTTGAGCATTACAGTGTTTTGTGAGGTTCAGGCCACGAAACTTTTCCAAGCCCTGAAATGTACGAAACGCTGTAATGCTGAAAAATTCCATAATTTGAACCCAGCCTGGCCATAGATGCCAGATTTTTGAAATTTTTTGGAGAAGTTGTTGAGCATTACAGTGTTTCGTGAGCTTCAGGGTTAAAGTTGTGGAATTTTTAAAGCCATACAGTGTTTTGTGAGGTTCAGGTCGCGAAACACTGCTGTGCTCAAGTTTTGTGAGCCTTGAGGCTGTGAAAAATTGTTTTTCGAGCATTACAGTGCTTTGTCAGATTCAGGCCACGACGCACTGTAATGCTCAAAAACATCCAAGATTTTTCAACCCTGAAACTCACGAAACCCTGTCATGCTCAAACAATTCCAAAATGTTAAGGAATCTGCCCCCGGCCTGGCCATAGATGCCAGAAATTGGAATCTTCGGAATTTGTTGAGCATTACAGTGTTTCGGGAGTTTCAGGGTTGGACTTCTTGGTTCTTTTTGTGTATTACCGTGTTCCGTGAGTTTCAAGGAGTGTTTCGTGATATCCAGGACAGGGTATGTTGTATCACAAGAGAACGGTGAGCTTTCAACCGCTTTCAAGGACTAAAACTGCTATTTTGTGAGTCTTCTGGAACAGCAAAGGTTTTCATTACTTTTGCTTGATAAGTATGAGCAAGGCCCACCTTAGTCGTTACATATTTTGTTTCATGTATGTTTTAGGAGGCTGGTACATCTATGTCACCAGCAGCACTGGCTTTAGTACTCAAGTTTTATCGAAATTGGTTTTGGCCCGTCTTCGGCAAGCTGCACAGCCTACAGATCCAACAGTGTATTAATGAATGCCGCTGAAGTGCTATAGCAGCGCAAGCCTATCTAGAACATATTTCATTTCATATTGAACACTGTAAGAAACTGTTTGCATTTTGCCACCATCAGAAACAATGGAGACTTCCTATGCTGTTTCCTATGAGACAAACGTTTCATTCAGATGACTCTGATTGATGCTGTCCTATACCCTGGAGAAGATACCGATCGCTGTGTCCATGGCGTTTCTCCAATGGCTGTCATAGAACGTAACGCAAAAAATTAGCTCTCTTCCAACTTCATGCGACACACCCTGGATGTGAGCAGCAGACAACAAGAAGCTTGTTTACCGGTATCTTTTCGTAAACGGGCAAGAGGCGTTAGACTTCTATCGGGTTTTATTGAAGCCACCTTCCTCATATCTCGACAAACCGATACCGGTCCTTCTGTGTATGACTATGGTTTGGACGCTGCCATAGTTCGTATCACAACATGAAAAGGAGCGCTCTTCAGTCTTCAAAAAGACGAGGTTCCATCTTTTTTTCTCTTCTGGGACAGCAGGAGTTCTGTTTCTCTTGCTTGATAGGTATGAGGATAGCCGAAATTAGTCTCCGGTTACTTCGTCTTGCACCCTCAAAAACAGATAGCGATTGCTATGCACATGGTTGCTTTGGATTTGTGTCATAGATCGTTTCACAATTTTTGGAAGAATTTTCTTCCATGAAGTGCCATCTTACGTTGTTTCCACCAGGATGAGGAGCCCATGCCTTCTGGTTGATACGTATCAATACAGCCAGTGGTAATTCGTCATGCTTCATGTTTGGAAGGTTGCAAGAGCTCTCTTACTTCTTGCTGCCGAGGAGCCTTCTTGCGCGCCCATATATGCAACTGAAATTTCAACTCCACAGGAGCTTTCTCATTTCTTATGAAGCAAAAAACAACAGATATTGGAGTAGGGCTTCAAAAATAAAAGAGCTCGCATATTCGACTTCGGAAGTCATGTATAATGGAAAGGAGATGAAAGGGGCTCTTTCTGTCTGCTCACTCGTAAGTCACATGTTAGAGCTATGAATTAACACGCCTCATCAGAATCGGACGCTTCACGAGCACCGGGAAAGACATGGCCCGCGCACACAGACTTCTTCGTAAGAGAGACTTTAATGTAGAAGAATGTTGTTAATAAACACACCATAAAACTATAACACGCAAAAAGCACGTTGTTTTAGTACTACATTAAAAAGATAGCACGCCTTCCAGCATGTCAGCTTGTCCAATACTATCCAAAAATCTGTGGCCGAGATTCGGCACCAGATACTTACATATCAAACCCGCGACTTGTAGCAGCACGGTTTGCATGCACATGGCGAAAAACACAATTGTAACGGTATTTACAGTGTTTTCGGCACATATGAGTAGTGGACCTATGTAGAGAAGCAACCTGTGGAATCGTGTGGAAGAGGCGGGTGTAGATCTTGGGGGGGTGGCCATATATATATATATATATATGTATATACATGTATATACATATACACATACATATACATATACATAAACGAATACATATATGTAAACATATGCATATATATGTACGTGTGTGTGTGAGTGTATACGGGCGTACTATGATAAGAAATTCTCTGCTAGCCTTCTTGGATTCAGGACTTAGCCTTTAGCGCTTGGGGCTTAGGGAAGCTCAGTGATGTATATCCCCCACAGGTCCCGGTCTTACACCCGGAAATACACCCATACAGAGGGTGTGCCCGAAGTGTGCCATAATAAAAGGAGACTGCGACCCTTCGGAGTTGAGGACATGAAGCAACAGGCCGCCGCACATGCACGTGGTGCTCCTCGAGACAGAACCGGACGGCGCCTCGCTGCAGGGGATTGCAAAAACGCCGACCTGGATCCCACGCTGAATGGACCTGGGAGTACAGGACTTGGTACTCCGCGTCGGAGAAGGCAGCTCTCGCAGACCGGAGCCCCTGCCGGGCGAATCTTGCATGTACGGTGGGAAGAGCTGCTAGTGAGAATTGGCATCTCGGCCATATGAACGTGAACGACAACATGTCAAACACGGAGAAGACGCACGAGGCCTCCACAACCTCCAGCAACACCACCTGAGTGCGACGGGGGTTGCAGGCAGGGCAAAGCGAAGCAGCCGAAAGCGGAAAGGGACCAATGAGGGACCCACTCATCTTCTTCGCTGTCATCTCCTGTGCATGCCACTCTTTTATTCAGTGCATCCGCCTAGAACGATGCAAATTCAGACTCTTGCCTTCTGAATCCGAAGATCCCCAGCCGCGGAACAGACTTCCTAACAGGACGATACCCGCAAAGCCGTGCACGAGCATGAGCCAGCATGAACTTCGTCAACAGGAATCGAACTGATAAGCAGAGAGGCGTAACATCTTGCACGCTGGCGAGCCAGAGCATTGGATCACTAGATGTGGTACTGCAACTTCGTGTCGTGACGATGTAAGTACAACCTACATCGATTCATTCGCACTCCGACCTGCAATGATTTGAACCAATGCTACTAATCATCAACCGAGGTAGCAATGTGCAGAAACAATTGCTGGGCTACCTCTCCACCGAAGGTGGCATGCTCGGCAAACTTGCCACTGGATGCTTTGTGCGGACTGCCTTTGCATTGTCGAAAGTGCTAACTTGCTAACTGATAGGATGGAAGGCTGCCAGGACAAGCTCTGCTGCATGGAACCTCGAAGCGCTGTGCACTCGCTCACAAGTCTATAGCAGACGAATCATTTTCCAGCACGTGGTGCGAGCATGGATGTCCGGACCAGAGCGCGCAGCGGGATCTAAAACAAACGCTGGGCAACACGTCTCGAGCTACGTCGTCACCTGCCGAGGCCAGTTTGGCTCCAGGACAGGATAAGAACTCTCGAGCAACACTAGGACAGACTACTCCTCCCATGTAGAGCCTTTCGGCTGGTCTGGGAAGCAAAGCCTTGACTCTCGCCGATTCTCACCGTTCTTCGGCAAGCATCAAACTTCTGACTCAGGTTCCTTCTCCGCGCGTCAGCGCCAGACGGCCATTCTGAACTGCCTGCTCTCAAAAAGCAACACGCGAGCTGCTGTCCCCACCTTCGAGCAAGACGGCCCCCGCCCCCGTTTCTTTTTGAATCGTCTTGATGTCCGTCTTGTCCGTTGGGACGACCGCCCATGCCTTTCCGGCAGAAGGGGAGCTGTGACACCTCCCTACTCGCCCTTGACCTGTGAGGCTTTGCCAGCTCGCGGAACTGCACCTTCTGCTAGAATGGTGGCCTGGATCGGTCAATGGCAAGGGTGCCACAACTTCACACCTGCACGGGCTCGGCGCCGAACCAAATGTCGGCGAAATCGCTGCCTTTCCCCGTCACTCAAGAAAGTGACTTCGAGGGTGGACCCAAACTGAAGTCGAACCTGGACAGCAGTCGGAAGCATGCCAACAGTTGCTGGCCGTGAAAGCCCCGTCCTTGGGGCTCGCTTCGGAGAGGAACCAGACTCCTTGCAAGTCCTCCAAGTCCCAGGGACCGTGTAAGGCCTCGCCGGGATTCATTCCGGAATGCAGAATGCAGGCAGCTGCCACAGCTTAACGTGTCACCGCGACTGCGACCACAGCGAGCGGCCTCGCACTTGTCGGCGTGGTCATTGGAGGTGGCCACCACACTTTCGGAGAAGTCCGGCAAGCGGTCGTCTTCTGAGTCTGTATCCAGGCTTGCTTGAGTCACCTCCCGTTCGTAGTGGCTTTCGTCGTCCGACCTGCGATGCAATGCTTGCACATGCACTACACTTTCTCGCGCTGCACCTCCAAAACTTTGACCAGAAGCTGTTGAACGAGACGACCTTTGCTTCTCGTACTGCAGCTCTCAGAAAACGACACTTCTTCAAAACTTGCTGGGCGGTTGCGAGTGAAAGAGTAGCTGTCGAGCGGCAGTTACGCTGCATCGCGTCAGGACGAGCATGTCCAGCTGCGCGTTCAGCCCAAGGCCCCCGGTGCTCTGCACAAATGTCACGCTGACCTCGCTGGCTTAGCGCGCTCCGCGGCGTCTTACGATGCTCGATCTGAGGGTGCTCTACTCAGATATCTGAAAGAAGCTTTTTGAAAGAGGTGGAGGATGGAGGGGTCGCATCCCATCCCGTGTCACATCATCGGTGCAGCTGCGACACCAGCGGAATGCCACCCCTGCGGACTTGACAAGTCTCGCGCAGGGACTCCAGCGAAGTGGACTTAACTGCTGACTCCAGAATTCCCCGTGCTCGCATCCGGATGGATGCCGTCTCCTTCCTTGGCTCCAGGACATAGGGATACATGACAGCTTGAGAAAGCATTGCGAGCGAAAAGTCCTTTCTAGTAAGCCTTCCATCATGTCTGTGCGAAGTCCGGAGTGACAGATCGAAGCAATAACTAGGTCGGTGGCTGACTTGCCGCCATCGTGTTTTTACAGGTCCGAAAACCCACGCAGTGCTGTAATTTGCAGGACGTTCGCGCTTAGGGGTTTATTTTGGAGAGGGCATTACACAAAAAGTTATCGTAATTACAATTGGGCCATGCGTGGTTTCCAAGACGGAGTAGAACAGAGAGGTTGCAAGACAGACACAAAAAAAAAAAAAACACGCATCAGAAGCAACCCAACAATCAGAAAAACCAAACGAAAGCTGCAGTTCCAGCATATCATCCAGACAACAACGCCCAAGACTCGAGTTTATGCCGAACAAGCCAAAGAATGAAAGCAAAATAGCATAAACACTCGAACAAAGCAAAAGGAATCATCAACTCAAGAAAACAGTGCACTAGAAACGAGGCAGGGCAGCGCAGAAGGGAGTGGAGGCAGCAGGTCAGCCATCTGGCAACAAAACGCTGCCTGGGCGCTTTCCATCCTCTTCGCCGGTATCTTGCTGCTTGCGCGGCACTTTGCGCAAAACCTACAGCACCACAATCGGCACATATTTGCAGATGGGATCGACTTCGTCTCATGTTTACCAGTCACAGCAGCCTACACCCAGGCCTCTTGGAAGGAACGTCGACGTCCGGAGCTCTCGAATACCAAACGCTGAAATTTCAATCCTTCTTCTCCATCCCAGACCAAGCACAGGATCTGGCGCATCCTCACGAAGCTTTGAGGGCATTTGGACACTTGGCGGTCTTTGACACTCTCAAGCACCGAGTTCAGTGTCCTCAAGTCGAAAATCACGCGCTTCAAGTCTTGCATGTTGCGCGGCTCAGACAGCACGTGAAGATCCGCAGGTTGCGGCATTACCGATGCTCTGGCCGGCACTCTCAAAAGGATCATGCGGAACCGAGTGGTAGTGACGAGCAAGCACCTTGTGTCCTGATGCATCACGATTCGTGGGCGGTCATTCAAGAACAGCTGTTTGTCATAAAAGCACGGACTAGCACAGGCCTGGATGTCTCCTGCCAACCGCGTCCACACAAATCCGACGGTGCTGACCCTCTCAGTGCTCAGGTTCAACTTCGGGCCACGATGAGAAGAGAATTCGAAGCTCCCCTCCTGCACCAAAGCGAGAAATCGTGCCGCATGTAACGTGCCATAACGAGACCTCCATCATCTTCTGCACATGGGCTCGAAGGCAATCGGCACCTCTCTCGGCCTGACAAGCCAAGCAGCATTTGCAAGCAGAGCAACAGAACGCATTTACACTGCATGTTTTAGCTCCCGAGCCCAACCCGGGGCCTGCAGCTGGGCAACCCTGGCTCGGGGCACCAACTGAGCTCCCTCTGTCATGGCTTGTGAGATTGCTTCACAAACGTCGTAGTCGCAGGATCCGGAAGCATCTGGGGCATCCTGACCAGCGAGTGACATGTCACGAGGCTTTGTTTCTTCAATTTAAAGTGAGGGCCTGCAGTGCAGGGATGTCAAGCAGGCGCGCGTGCTTGGAGCTACGCTCGACTTCCGGGCGCAGGGATTCTCGTCAACCCAAGTGTACATGTTAGTAAAGATCTCCTGGCGACCCGTACACAAGAGTGAAGTAACACAAGGCAAGAAGCAATCGGATGGACCCCGACAGCTGTCTTGCGAGCTAAAGCCTGACATCCAAGGTCACCAAAAGCTCGCATCGTTCACTGGGGGTTCCCACTGTTGTGACATCTACTAAACCTTATGCTCATGCTGGGGTACCACTCGACCAGCCGCTGTTACGGTGTCGTGAGGATGATCCTGACTCGACATCTGAATCGGAAATGCTTCCGCTTGTTGAGATCCAAACCCAACACAACCGCCACAGCTGGAAAAACACAGCGACTCGTGCAGGCCTCCGTTGGGCCGACTTCGGCGTTGGATTTGCCGGTCAACGTCCTCAGCTCGAGATGGCAAGCCGGAAAAAGAAAGAGTCAAAGAAGAAGTAGACCAGCCCTTTGTGTGTCCAAAGCCTTGCCAATGTGAACTACACAGAATGCGAATCAACATGAATCAAACCTAGTCGATGAGTTCGCGACTTCAGCCGAGTTTCATCAACGCAGCCAGCGCCGTGACGCACTGGTTGATGATTCCCGAGATGACCCGAACAGGAATCTGCACAAAGCACTGCAGTAGTCCGCACAAAGGACAGGCTATCTTTACGGTGTTTAATCGGGTTTTGCTCCGAAAAGAAGACTTCTGGCTGGCTCAGCTGGTTGTTCTACCACCCTGACAGGTCCTACACCTTGCAAAAAGCTTCCATGCTGTGTGCACTTAAATGTTCCTGCACACAGAAAACGCGCCTCCGTGTCTCTTGTAGCACTTCTGAAGGCTATAGCTTCCTCGCAGGAAGTGCTCCACTGTCCGTCTCCGAGCTATCACTCATCGCCACCACCACCAGCACCGCCACCACCACCACCAGCCTTGACATCACCATCAGTAGCATCGTCATGATCATCGTCATCACAACAGAGTCAACAGCAACAGTGCGTGCTCTATCGCTCAACCCCGCTGTCGTCACTATGCTCCAGATTAGGAGTCAGCATCTGCAGTGCAGCACTCACTCGGGAACGGCCTGGTGAAGGGCATAGAGGAACAAATGCACCAGTGCTTTGATGGTGATGGGCGGAATGATCTCGGCAACAACAGCTGCTCGAGCGTCCTGTCGTGTCATGACCGCGAGTGTTGCACTTGAGATGCCTGCACGAAAATGAGTCACATAAGTCCAACTTGCCTGTGATAGTGTGTTAGCTCTGCGCTTGTCAGCATTCGAGGCAAGGAGGACATTCGTGTTCAATGCATCTCCTGAACGCATGACATCACGTGCTTGTCACTTTTCGAGCGAACCTGCATACGCGGCATGCGATCCGCCATCCCAAGTCCTTGCTCACCATCATCGACGTTCTGCGGAATCGCCACAGCATCCTTGTGGCTGGGACTCTGCCCGCTTTGCGGGCCAGCTCTCTCCTGAATCGAGGGGACGAGCAGTTCTAGTTTCACGTACGATTTGCACACAGTGAAAGCTGTCCTTGTCCGAAATGGCTGTGGTGCCGTGATGGTGATGGTGATGACTGGCCTGTCCAATCTGCCAAGACGAGCTGAAAATGTACAAAGTTCTAAGCTGCATCTGCCTGGTTCGAGAGCGACAAGCATCGCATCTCATTGTCAAAGATGCTCTGCACTAGTGCCATGCACAGGCTGGCGAAGTCTTGGAAGACTAGCACCTGCAACTCGAGAGTGCTTTGACGTTGTTAGCATTCAGGGGTCCGGTCCAAAAGGTGTCTGAAAAAACATGGTTTGTTAAGCCCAAAAGATCGCTCGCAGAGCTCAAGGACTCAAGGGAAGGCTTCATGCCATGACCTTCACCGGGCCTCGTCGCGACTGAGGGGCCGCTGTCCAGCTACACGCAACTTGTCCAGCATTGGCTTTACCTTGGCACGACGGAACTCCAACGATGCGATTGACCTCAGGCCATGCAGCATGGTAAAGCTGGAAGGCCAATTTCGAGCCTGCGTGCCACCATATCGCAGGTGTAGGAACCCACCATACTCAGCAAGTGCATTCTTTCGCGATCAATCGTAGCCAGCTCCCTTTCATGCCGTTCTTGTTCTCGTGGCACTGTGAAAATCGCCTGCAAGGTTGGAAAGCCGCGTGTTCGCCGGAGTTGTTGAATCTGGTTAGGCACACCCGCCTCAATCTCGTCCGGCTTCTGGCAAACCCAGAGGTTCGACAACAAAGCGGAACAAAATCGCATGAACTTCTTCGGCAGCAATGCACAAGTCAGATCCAGCTCCCCATCAGGCATTTTCTCTTTTCCTGGGATGGATGGAGGAGGAACGTAAACGTACTGCCACAAGGAGAGCGGGGGTGCTCCAGAGCGACTCAACAGCAAACACCAGCCAGCACTAGAATGATTGCGGAAATGTCACGAACGAGCTGCACGGCTGACACTAGCGCGATGATCCTGACAAGCGAAACGAATTTGGGAAAACTGCCGATGAGCAAATGCACTGTTTGACTTGCCCGTGCACAGTTTTCCAAGCAAATCATGCAGGACCTAAGGCTGCCCTCCCCGCGACCGATCCTCGGCAGGGAGGAGTGCTGCGTCATTCGCGTCGCGAAAGTATCCAAGACATACCTGCGTCAATGATTGTAAAAAACTTGTACATATACGACGTACCGATGTAGACCCGAACGGCAAGGCCAAAGGCTAAGAAAGTGGCATGGTAGCATCGGGCACGAAAGCTGGATTCTCGATGATGCTAATGGAAGATGGACACCGATTCTTCATGACACAAGTGCCGTTGGAAGCTTTCCGGGTTACCCAAGCGCCAAACTATCCCCGATTTCGTTTTTGTTACCGAAGTGTGAGCTCACGCGGCTGCTCGGGTTGAGAACATAGAGGTGAGGAGAGCGCAGTCTGAGCCCGGCCTAGCTCTAGAGGTGAAAAGCACTGAGCCTAAACCACTCCTCGCCCACGCCCCGCCTCCGACCACCAACACACTGCGGGAACTCCATCATCACAAAAAGGCATCGCAGGATGGCTGCAAGATTCTTGGAGGCCCTGGTCCACAACTTGTGCAGACTTGATGCCTGCAACAAGCGAGGTTCCACCCCTACCATCACTCACGGTTGGGCTTCGGCAGAAACAGACAATCAACGCAGTGGTGACATGTGCGAGCCGATCAGCGGATCGGCAAAACACAAGAGCTCTGCCTCGTGGGAAGCTGCATGCTTTGAGTGTCCAACATGGCCTCCAGATTACAAGGCTCTTGGAACCATGCATGGGTGGCACGTGAGGGCGTGGGAGGGGCGTCCAATATCCACCAAGCTTCGGAAATGCCCAGCGATGCTCCACATCATCGTCTTGAATTCCGGTGGGACAGTTCGGAAGGACGACCCTTGAACGTCGACATCTCCGTTGGAAATCTCCGTCCGCATGTGGGCTTCCATCATTGTCTTTTGAAGAATTTCGTCGGAGGTCTCGAGTGCCAATGTCCTGCGGTTTAAGAGCAATGAATCAACTGTTGAGGGCAAAAAGCCAATCTAGGTTGCAAAGAAACAAACATGCTGAGGACGTCAATTTTGGCTTCTCAAGATGCAACACGTTCATCTTATTCGTCTTAATAACAGAATATCTGGAGGTGGTCCCGACATGTCCTGATGGCAGCACGGCTCCCGCTGTGTGTCGAATGAAAATCGAGTAGCAACGCACCGTCTCTGAAGATCGTAAAGACTTGGCCAGCCTCATGTGCGGCCTTAGAGCGCCACGTCTCTTCGGTGCTCATGTAGCAAACCAGACAACATGTGAACGGGCAGCAACATTGCCAAAATGTACTCTTAAGATCGAGACGTCATTCGGCTCGCTCTTCACGGAAAGCTTCTCGCCGAATGATGTCAAGAAGTTGGCACCCTGCCTGTTCACAAGCCGTCTATTGAACTATGTGTGTCTTGGCGTCTTAGTATGTGGCCGATGGCTGGTGCTGCCAGGGAGGCATAGTATACAGAAGGTGCAGTCATCACTGAGGCAAGACAATAGAGCACATTCAGCAGACTCACCATGCCTGCCTTACGGTCACGAAATTGCTGGCACTGACCTGGAGTCGAACTTTATTCCAAAGGCGGAATCACACCACAGGCGAAGCTTCCCCACTGAGCCTTCAGTCTCAAAGACGTTTCCGTGTGCAGACTTCGGAACTCGGTCAAGCTGCCCTTCATTCCACAGCCTTTGCGGGACTGTGCCGGACTCGAGCGCTCATCCAGTAAGGTAAGGTTGTGACACACGCAAACGGCTCCCCATGTTTGTCCACAAGGGCGCCTTTTGGTTGCATTCCAAAGTAAGGCTTTCCAGGCCACTTGACAACACGTGTCAAAGCATCGGCCCGAGTGAGGAGTCTTCGCTGATATGTGCAAGCTTGTCGCGAACTTGCCATGTCCGGGTTTGTTGTGGCAGGATTCAAAATGACGAGTCGTGACGAGTAGCATCTTGAACCTAGCCGTCCCTCAGGCATGCACTTTCCAGCACGCTGGCTGTCGGAGAGCTTGGGTGCTGCAAAAGAATTGGCAGCACCCAAACTCTCATAAGTGTACGTCTCTACAGGACAGCCGGCTTCTCCATCCTTTGCTAGTTCTCCAAAGTCTCAGAAGACCGGCAGAAAGATGTGGTAAAGTTGGTCAAACTTTTTTCTCTGGGACCTGGGCAGCTTTACATACGGTGCTGGCTCTCTGTTCAAGTACCGAATGATAAGAACATGAGGCGTTCATCATCGAATGAGCCTGAGAAAGGGCTCGGGTGCCCTGAACAGATTCGGTGGAGCAGCAAAAAACACTCGTCGAGCTTGGGTCGAATCGACTATTTACGGCTTGCTCGATAACAGTTTCTGTTGGATGCGGCATCGTCGGGATGACAAACGAGGAGCAATACTGCAAACATTCCGAGCTCCGTGTGACAACGGCAGTCAAGGAGACATCTGAAAGGTCAGGCCCCGCGACATTGCGCTACAGGATACAGGCGCTGTCTCCATGCATAAATCGTGTTTTCGCCCAGTGCTCGTTGGCAGTTGTTGGCTTTCGCCACGTTTCCATTGAAAAAGTTACCGCGCATTTCCACCGCCGACCCCTCGCCTTTCCACCTCCAGAAGTCGTCGCGCTTTCTCCATGTTCCCGTCCCCCTCGGGACCCCTCGTTCTCGTGACATCGCGCTCTCGCGGCAGCTCGAATTTCGAGTGTTGGAAATCGCGTGTTCTCATCAAAGTGAGGTTGCAGTTTGTCTTGCGAGTTCTCACAACCAGGCGTCTCACACTTTGCCATTGGATTGGTCTCCTTTTGTCTTGAAAACAGTCATTGAATGGAATACTATTATGGGGTGATTTGGGAGTGGTCGTCCTGTCGAGATCTATGCTGGCATACTGCATGCGTGTATCGATGTGCAATCGCTGCATGAAGACTTGCAAAGCTTGCAAGCACATGCAAGACCATCAGTTCCCTCACACTGATAGTCTTAACAACACACCATCGAAAACAGATGCAACTCCTTCGAAAGGGTCAAACATCTTTAGAGGCTTTGTAAGACATACAAGTACAGGACAACGGCACAAAGGACCGTTCCAAAGCCTGTGCTTGCATAGAATTGCCGGCTGCGGTTGCAAGAGCACAGAGTAGAGTCCTAGAGTCCTAGAGTCCCAGAGAGCCCAAGCAGCTTCAGGCTGGCCGGACTGACAAACCCTCGTGAACCCTCATTGCTGACATGACACGGCTAAGAGCATAGTCGTCTCTGCATCCGATTGCTTCAACGGTAAAGGTCATGTCGTAGTCCTGCAGCTCCCGCCGCATTTCTGTAATAAAGGCTCTAAACTCTGCAATGGCGCCTCTGAAAAATCTGCGAGGCGACATCTCAAATGCCCGCTGGCGTGTACATCCTGGGCAGGCAAGGCTTCGATTTCCATCCTCAATGATGCACTGGCACTGCAGCCAAGCAGGGCCAAGAATCCAAATACTTCTGCGTGAATTTGGACTTCAAGCGAATCCGGTCGCCAGTCTTCACTACGCCATCACCTGCCTTCCACATCAAGAGCAAGAGAACAAACGGCTCCGGGTCTGTGGCGCTTTCCTCGGGCCTCTCGCTCAATGACAAAAAGTTGGCAGCTCGTCAGCTCGGCCGACTGGGCAAAGACCTCCTCGCCGTCCACCTCAGAGCGCAAGGAGCTATGCTCATATGCAGCAGCTGCGCAGCTGCCAATACAAACTGCAACACTGCAAGCTCCCGCAGCTCCCGCAGCTCCCAGCCTCCAGATTGACGTCTTTGCAGCGGAGGAAGATGATGTCAGAATGGTGAATGCTTCGGCTTCGCAGCATGGTCGAGAGATACTGTGCCACCAAAGTCGTCTCGGAGGTGGGAACATCACAGCTGCTCTGCAAGATCTCTTCCACCTTCCTCATCGTATCGCGATACTGCTGCACTGTGTTGTTCTTCTTGGACTTACCACTCAAGCACATGCGAAGCTCGGAGTAGTGGATTGACGAGTCCTGTGCAAGAGTTGCCATGACTGGTGGAAGCATGTTATATGCCGAGGGCGCATCCTGCAACCCTCCTCTCTCCCCATGCTGTCCTTCAGCTGAAGCTGGAACTTCAAGGCAATGCAATACTCGCCGAGGTCGGAGGCCAAACGAAAGCGATTTCGAACCTGGCATCGCACGAGTGCGCCGAAGGCTTGAGAGAAGGCCGCAGGCCCCACAGGAAGGCCTGGTACAGGAATAGCCGCTGCGCGCGCTTCAGGAACTCTTGCAGTGCAGCAAGCAGGCAACGAGCGTCCGGGAACTCCAAGACGATGCAGGACCTCACCGGTGCCGATGCTGCTAGCCCTGCCGCCGTGACTTTTTTTGCTGTTGTGCCGGCGGCATCCGACCGCTAAATGGGGGACCACGGGCTATTTCTGGCGGGAGGCAAATTGGTGCGTCGATCGTGGCGCCTGAAGTACTTGTACTTGTCCTGAACCAGCAGCTCTTCGCGAGGACGAAGTCCTGACGAGCGATTACAAACGCTGCTTGCGGTCATTGCGTCTCAAGCTCTGAAGCAGGTGCGGAGGCATGTAATCGCATGCATGCGGCGAAGCTCGAAGCCGCTGCCTGGTGTAGTCGACTTAACTGATCATACAACGACTCGATGGACAATATCACATTTTCGCCGCTCGACATCGACGTAACGAGCGGAGCATGCTCAATGCAGGTCCCCACAATGCTGGAGGCGTGAGTCGGTCAGTTTGCATTCGCTGGCAGAAACTGACGAAGGGCCGGCGCAGTGCCAGCATCAGGCAGAGGCCCGACGCTGGAGAACTGCATGTCTGCCTTGCTGCCTCACTTGGCCAAGTCCAGCAGATGCGCCGCGTCTCATACTGCCTTCCATTCTCATCCCGCAACATCAGTTCGAGTTGCAAGGATGATTCAAAAAGGGCGAGATATACCTTGCGAAACTCACCCGGCGCGCAATCCCCACCCGCGCTCCATTCCCGTGGCCCGTGGCCATTTCATCACCGATTTGGTGATGGATGGCAGGTACTTGGGCCTTCGATTCAGTCCTCGGTGGTCTGCCGCATGCAAATGTGTTTGCTGTTGTGTCCTGTCGCACCCTGCGAGGAAAGTCGCATGCAACGATTAAGTCGGAGCGTGGAAGCTGTCTCAGAGAATTGCACATCCATGGCGAGAATTCGAATCACTATCTTATGCTAAACCCCAGTGTCAGGTAGTCTACAGGTCGCAAGAACTCAATTTTCAGGACATGTCGCGGACGATTGTAATCTAGAGTACATCTTGGCACCGGATCTCCAATCAGACGCCGCCCAGTAAGGCAGCACTTCTCCAGCCGGTGCCTTCTGATTCGCATATGGAGGATGATTCTCTGCATGTTTCCGTGCATTTTCTCGGACGCGAAATGCTTGCCGACAGCATTCTCCCATCAGGTCCTGCATCGATCGCCAGCGCCTTGCAACTAGTCGCAGTGATGCAGCAGGATGCAAAGACTCAGACAGAGGCTGCTCGGCTGCGCCCCGCCTGGTTGTCTTGCAGGAAGTCCAGCAGACCGATGGCCAGCACGCTCGGAGGCCCATTGGCATCAGGCTCATATTGACACCACCTGTACGACTCTCCAAGCGAAGGACTCCAAGTCTGACATTACCCGACCCGACCTGGCCACTTCGTTGTGGTCCCTCTTGGATGAATCGCAGAGCATCTGCTTCATGATCTTGTGGGCACTCAAAGCTTGGTACATAAGCTTCTCGAAGTCCCGGTGCGGTTGGCGGATACGTCGCTGCTTTCTAGGCACTCGCCCGAGATCCTGCAGAAGCAGTCTAGGCGAGAAGTCTGAGACGCGCACCCCCCAAGCTCACAGAACTTGTCGCCTGGACATCTCGCAGCTGCCCGTCTATGGCGATCTTGTCAGGTATGCGGAGAAGTTCATAGACAGCATCACCACGTTCTTGCACCTGACAATATGCACAGGGTATGGGCGATGGCATGACTATGACTGCCAATGCCGGACTTCTGGCCTCTTGATTGGCACGATTCTCATTGTCTTTCCAATAGTTCTGGTAGACTTTGGCAAGCTTTGAAAGGGAGAACTCTTGCTTTTTCTGGTCATACTGATTGAGATTGCACCGAAAGTGTGCAGCCGCCCCCTCATTCAGGCTGCGCAGGCGCGCCGTCAGGCAGTCCTGCTGCTAGTTTGCTCTACGGGCCAATCAAGCAGGCACGATTGTACTCGAGGCTGCGAGGAACTGTCTGCTTCCTGTCCTGAACGACTTCACTCCTTGGATCCACAGCGATACAGGTTTTTGTGGCGGAGCGGAGTTGCAGCGACTAAGGGCAGAGCATGGTCTGCTCCTCCTGCTTCGTCTTTACTGAGGCCTCGCTTTGGTGCACATCTTGTTGACGGCCTTCCCACTTAGCCCGCAGACTCCTGCATAGACAAAGCAGATGCATATGTGCACGCAATTTCAACACGGCCTTGGGCTCCGAAATCTGTTCGACCGGTCCTCTCTTTCTCCCCGAGCTCCTGTGCGAGTTTATCCTGCACAACGAAGTAGCGGAAACTGCATTCAAGTTTGTAGTGATACATGCGGCTCCAAAAAAGCCATGCCACAACCGCTATTATCCTGCACCCTGTTCAGGAGAATATTCAGATCTTCGTTGGCTGCGAAGAACCGATGGGCAAAGTCCAACCTCGCAAAAGCACCGACGGAACCATTGCTGCCACGGAGGAAGCCAGATCCGGGTCCCGAACAGGGGGTCCAAGCCGCGGCTGTTCATGAAGTACTCCTGCTGGTAGCCACTGTCCTCGTTCTCGATCGCATCTCGATAATCTAGGAGCCTCAAGCACGGAGACAAAAGCGAAGTCATCGGATTATCTCGGATCTAGAGGACTTGGCTCAGGTCAGCCCTGTGCCTGTAGAGCATCGTCAGGCCCGGCCAGGGTCCAGCTTCGTCCGTCGGTGGCACATCCTGCGTCCGTGTGGCTGGTGACCATATTCTTGTTCGGCGGTTGACTAAGTCTTGCCCGTGTCCTTCAGTATGTTGGAGTGCATGTAGTCTGGTTTCCCCTGTCACGGTGGCACATAACTATCCCAAACATTCAGCCACAGTCCAGCTGTAGGCCTGCAAGACGTCTGCGAGCCGCATCAACGCAGCATGAACCACAGGGCCATGCACGTCGAAGGCAGGACTTGTGACAATCGGCAGGAGCACCTGGTCAGCACAAGCTGCACAGCCGTTGTTTGGATGGCAGCGCGCTAGGCAGGCCTGACGGATGTCGCGGCCAGTCCAAATGTCCAGAATCTGCGTAGCAGGATTCGAACTGGTGCGCTCCTCCTGCTGTAACACCTCCCAGGAGCTCATCTTCAAGAGCCTGCACTAATTAGTAGAAGACGACAGCCCGCCTCTCGAATGGACTGTAGCAGATCGACTCGCCGTAGAAATTTCCGCAAGCCGCCTGACAAAGGCCTGAGAGAGGGCGGAGCGAGCAATGGCAATTAATTTAGCTACGGCTGACACGCTCCAGGCCTTGAGCAATCCTTCAGGAGCTCGATGATCTTTGCCGTTAGGTCAGCCTTGGCTTTCGCTTCCTCCTTGTTGCCATGCGTCTCTCTCCGGCTATTCACCGTGAGCATCTCGAAGCATTCCCGGATCGCGTATTTGGCAAACTTATTCCGGAAGCTTTGACCAGTTCGAGAATTGTTTCTGACGAACATCTTGATAAGGTCGATCACCTCTGTCAAGAATTGGCCTTGCTTGCCGATGCCCATGCCCACAGATGTGAGATAGTTCAACAGCCATCCCATCTCTTCCAGGTCAAATTGGTCTGGAGTAGCTTCCAACACGTGTCGGATGCAGATCAAGCTCTCGACCCTGCAGGGGCAAGGTCTAAGATCTGAGTCTACGGCCCTGCTTGAGCTGGCTTCAGAGCCTAATGGTATCGGGTGACAGGCTCAGGATGACTGACACAAACCTAACAACCAAATCAGCACTAAGCCAGGTGCTGCCCGAAATGAGGTCTGTATGCTGAATTTTGTGCATTGTGGGGAGCTGTGATGCCGGCTGCTTGCTGCTGGATGTGTGATTGCAGCCGTGTAGCCTTCTAGCTATTGGAAGCTCCTCCTGGTTTCACGACAAGACATTGAATCTGCTCTGCCGCTGCCCTTGTCCTCTCGACTGCATGGCGGGCTTGTGCAAACTCCCGTTGAATTCTCTTACAACACCAATCCCTTTGCTTTGCCATTGGGGCATTGGAAGCAGATCTGTCGTCCGAGGAGAGGGTGGGTGGGTCTGGGAAGCTGTTCGAGGGAGCGGAACAGAGAGAGCGACAGGCGCAGACGAAAGAACAGCACGTCAGCTTCTCGGCCTGACGTCGAAGTCCGGACACGTCACCAGGCCGGTGGTAGGTCCGATCAGAAGCCGCTCGCGATCGTTGGCATTCAACAGATCCTCTGACAATGCTCGGCAGAGGCATGGGGACATCATGTGGACACATCGACGTCCTAAAAGGGGACCACAGGACAGCGACCCCCGGTATTTCCCCAAGAGCTTTTTTTGACTTCACGAAACCCCCGCAAACGTTGTCCGTCACCATCTTCAGGCTGGGGGGACTGTCATCACGCCGGGCGAGATCGCTGAACAGCTGGATAATTTTCACAATGCCCAGAAGTGTTCGATGCATCATGGTGTTCCTGGCGAGAAGAACATGCACATGCGCACAGAGAGAGAGAAAGAGAAGTCGTTCTGCTAGAACTGTCGAATACGACGACGTGCTTTGCGAAAGAGAGAGACTAAGACTTGTCTCGCTGCTAGATCTGTCTATCGCGACGGGAGGCTGAAGCTCTCGGATCTCAGGAACCAGTTCGCGCCACTGGCTGTGCTCGTCCGGGTCCAGGCTTGTATATCTCTTCTCCAGTCGCTCGCGAGCGTCGTTCTTCATTCCATACTTCAGTTCGCATTTGCACCAAAGCTGCATGTACTTCTCATTCGGCACATCTTTGATGTACGGACCACGGATGTATGGAAGCAGAATAGCTGTCTCTCTGAGGCGACTGATGACTTTGCTAAGCACACGAGGTCTCATGATGTCACTCTGCACGAAGACGTACACGGACTCGTACGAGATTGCCAAAAAAAGAGGATCTGGATCCGCACTCGAAGCCGCAACCTTGGCTGCAAAGCGGCTCTTTCTGCCACTTCCCCCTGCTTTCTACAAGGAATGCACGTGCCACGAACCTCCAAAAGCATCTCGAAGACGTCCATGCCGTTCTCGGCCAGAATGTCATTCATTGCCTGATTGCTGATCTCGAGGTCTCCGCACTTGACCATGGTGTGAAGGATACCAACAAGCTCAGAGATCAAAGCCACATCATCAGGGTTCCTGCAGTTGCCACAAAATGTGATACCGACGCCAAAACAGAGTGATCGAAGGCATCAGTGGAGCTAACATGCACCATATGCACTAGTTCCGTGACCGAGCCGCATTTCGCTGAGCCGTGAAACCGGCAAAGGTGAGCCGCCCTCCTGGAGCCGCCTGGTTCTGCCGGCAAGTGTTACGTAGCACTGCGCCACTAGGATGCTTTCTGCCTGTTTTCTTCCCAGATGTGCTCCGAGAATGGTCGATGATGGCTGATCGATGGGGTTCATTCTTCGGGTCCCGAAACCGTAATCCTTAGGCCCTGACCCGCTGCATACTACACCCTACTGTAAACACCAGACCCTTTGGTCCGGACATGATGGAACTACGCCACAAAGGCTTATGCCAGTTACATTTGTGTATGTCTGAACTTTCTCCCATAGACGATGGTGCTCCAACAAGTCTCCGAACCACCTGTTCTATGAGTGCGACCTTCACAAACACAATGGGAGCGGAGCGCACCCTCCGTCTACATGTGAACACTGCTCCACTGTGCCTTCGAGCGCGAGCCCAGCAGTTGGTGTGAAGCTTCGCTTCAAGGAAGTGGCGTGCGGCCTGTGCACTTTTTGGAGACTCGACTCCTACCGGGCGACAGAAATCCGAAAAGCACCTTTAGGCCAGCATCTCCGTATGCTTGCATGAGGTTCCGTGCCAGCTGCAGCAGTCTCACGAAGGCATTGTTGGCCTGAGGAGTCTGAGTGCACATCAGAGATCTTTGCAGTCCAGAGTCCACTGTATGAGCCAGGCCTCGCTGCTGCCTAAAAGCGCCGCCTCCGTGAAACCCTGCTTGTCCGATTCATGCCTGGAACCGGGGCCGGTGGCCCCCATTACCGGGGGCGAGAATGCAAGAAGGCACGAGAAGGCCAATGGCCCACGCGACGGGATCTCTGCATGCCAAGGAACTTGGTGACGGCGAGGTGGGCATCAAAATAGGAAACGCAGTAGGCAGCATTCTGGGAATCGCTTGTGGCCGTCACTAGGACAGCAAGCCCGTCTACCCACGCCTCCCAAGCATGATTTCTCCCACCACCCTCTTCTGCAGCCTCGCAGGGCTCAAGAGCACATTATAACCCACAAAGGAAACTCACAAGATGCACACAATCCCAACCCAGCGCCTTGTTTGGCCTCTTCGGCGGACGACCCAGAGGCCTCACATGAAGCGTTCTTTTGGCGGAGCTTCTTCTCAACGAAGCCAAAGTCTGCGGGCTCTGCTGCTTGAAGCACACCTGTGTCGCATCATCGTGCAATATGCCGCAATCTCGTTGGTGCTATTTGCTTCATCTATCCTTCGAGACAAGTTGCCTTGACCATTCCCAGCTCGTCAGTTGCCTCCACCACGAAGCCTCCGAAGCCCTGGTCAACAAGACATGGCAAAGACATTCTAGACGTCAAACTGTATCATCTTCGACTGTCCTGGCGGACACACTTCTCTTCGCAGCTTACGAGGTTCTTCTCCTGGACTTCGAGCACCTGGTCTGAAGACCCGTGTGCCAGCACACCGGAGCAAGCCCGAATAGAGAGCCATCGCGGCCTCCGCCACGTCCTCAGAGAAGGAGTCAAAGCCCTGGTACTTAGACCACCGATCTGGTGGCTGATCCGGTCCTGCACAGAAATCGGGTCGGCCAAATAAAAAGGCCTGCGGCCTACATGACATGTCATCACACTTGGCGTGCCTAAGACCTCTTTCGTCTCTCTGCAGAGAGCAGGCAGAAAAGGACGAAGGACGCGAGCTCGCCAAGGCGACACGACCTTGTCGTAGAGTCTGCCTTAGGCACCGGGTGTGCCACGGGTCGCGAGAGAGGTTGGTCAGCCGAGAGGCTTGGCCCGAATCTGCGCAGGGCTGCCAAGATGTGCCAGCTGGCTTCGGTCTGCTCCAACTCGGAGTCATCCTCTGGCCTGCTTGGACAGGTGCTCCGCAAGACGTCCAAGCTGGATACAATCGGATACATTCTCGGTGAACCAAAAACGATACTATTCGGATCAGCGGCTCTCGTGCACCATGCGAGGCCTCGTAACAGGCCATCGGCTTCTCGTTGACGCTCTTGATGCCAACAACCAGCGCATGGCGAAGGTCGTTGAACAGGGCTTCGGACATGCTGTCCATTCGGTCATGAAGCTCCTCCGCGTTGGCATCCACCCACTCAGCCAGCAAGGTGCCACAGCGTTCTGACAGCTGCCTCCGTTGAAAAGCCGGGGGGCTTGTTATAGTTAGTTACAAATTGACACAGTTTCACGGACGGAGACAAGTTTCTGCAACCACACGCCTGTTTCCACATCCAAGCATTCGCACCAGGCACATGACAAGAACATCTTGTACGCTCTCGAAACGTCCGAGCACCTTGCAAAGGTTGTCGCCATGAACAAGTGTCCATACTCCGAAGAATTCACAGCAGGTACCTGCTGCATCTTGTCAGCGAACTCTGCTGCAGCACGATCTGCTTCTGCAGGCTTCATGTAACTTCTCTGCTTTCGTTCACCATCCTGCAAGCCGCCAGGTCAAAGTAACGCAAAGCACTGCACAAAAACTGAGGCTATTTGCTTTGCAAGTCCTCCGCCAACATCAGCCTCCGTCTGTCCCAGAAGTGTGCATTCCACATGCAGGAGACCTGCGAACTCGTTCGATTGCAGCTGGGGTGCTGCAAGACTTGCAGCTTGAGTGCAAGGCACAGCACAGAAAGCTGCATGCAGTGGCGCATGTGGCATGTGCCACTGGCAAAGTCTGAGGCTACGACCTTCTGCTCCAAGTCATACACATGCTTGAGGAGATCGTTCGGCTGGTCCAAGGACTTTCTCATTGCTTCTATAAGCTCGGTCAGCAAGGGTACCTTTCCACCGCTCTGTTGCGGAGGGACATTCCTATCACCAAGTTTGAGGGTCTCTAAGATACCGACAACTCCTGCGACTTCCTGCTCTCTGCCTCCGAGAAAAGCTGGGATGAAGTGCTTGGAGTGTGGGCCAAGCAAAGCTCGGGCATGGTGCCTGGAAGTGCCTCTACAGGAGCATTTCTCTTCCGCCTCTCCTTCATCTTGCTTGGAAGAAGCACTGCAACTCTTGGGCAAATCAATGCTGGACTGTGTCCCACTTTACCACGGTCCTCGACACGAACGTCGAAAATGGAGAAGTCTGCGATGTTCAACTGTAGCTGGTCCGCTTGGACGCGCAACTGGAACCTGCAAGGACAGGTTTGGCACTTTGTCACCAGGGCCCTTGCCCACCCTTGCCCACCCTTGCCCTTGTACCTTAGGTCCGAGTCGATCTGAAAACCGTCCAAGGAGGTCAGGGAAGTGAGTGTGCTCGCGGTGATAAACTGGTATTCCTTGAAGCCCTCCGCGAAGGGGTTCGGCCAAAACCTGAACAGCGACAGAGCGACTGCCCTTAGCCGAGGCCCAGCACCGGCCCGGCCTGAGCTCCTCCAAGTGGATCCTCTCCAGGTGCCCGAGCTGCTTCTTGAAAAGAGTCGGTCGCCAGAAGAATCGATTGGAGGACAGGTCCAGGACGCGCAGCTTCTGCAGCTGTCCAAACTGGTCTAACCTGCTTCATGACACTTGCGCATACTGCAAGGGATGTGTGGACCATAACTGTCAAGCAGCATATCGTCGATGTAATTGTGAGACAAGAGTAACTTGCTGAGCTGAGTCAATGATGAGAAATCAGGGAGCTTGATGAGCTCGTTGTGACTCAGGTTTATCTCTGTCAAGCTCGGATTAACCAGCTTGACAAACGTCAACATATTCCGTGACGCATTGAGAATCTGCAAACGACGAAATTCGAAGGCCCTTGTGTCCTTGGATGAGTCGTCACACACACACACACACTAACTCAGTCACACACTCGTTGAAAGAGAAAGAGCGAAAGAGAGCGAAAGGAAAAACGAGAGAGAGAGAGAGAGAGAGAGAGCTAGCTTGCAATTCGTGTGCACAGCTTCAACTTCTCAGGCAAGCATCCTTCATCGCATTAAGACAGCCAATGTCAGTCAACTTGTTCTTTGCCAAGTTTAAAACTTCCTCAGAGGCTCTCCACATCACATGCACAAAGCACATAAAGGTGCTCAACGGATCCTGTTCCTGTGCCAAGTGTCTATGTGTTCACGAATGAACTGCTTGTGCATGAGGCCATTCTCCTGCTCTCCTTCGAGCGTTTCCAAACTCCTTACCATTGCACGGTGCGAGGCTCGCCACAGCCACGGTTGTGCGCGGCTTGTGTGACATGCACACTGAACCATCCAAGCTGGCAGCCATTGGGGACCACTGAAGTCTACTCGCCTGCGATTGCGCGCGGACCTGGCTGGCGATGTTTGTTTTGCTGTCATCATCACTGGTCAGCACGAGAACGTGTCTCTGTGGCCTGTAAGATGTCCAGTCCGCACCAAATTCGGTAAAGAAAACTTCCGTACCCAGGGACGAGTACCTGATCGGCATCTTCTCGCAGCAGCTGCAACAACCTCGACCACCCGCGGCGCTGAGGCTGGGGCTGTCCAAGTGCATTCTGGTGCTTTGCCAGTTTCTGCATGGCGAGGACAAGAAGGCGCGGCGCGGTCGGGCTCGGGGGTCACAAGTCGTCGTTTGCGACGTTGATGCCTCTAGTAGGGCCGCTGCGGGGAGTGAGGTCAGAACTTGTGGCTAATTGTCACACGCAGTATAGGAAGTTGCTTGATACGTAAAGCCTGGTCCGAATGGTTGTCCTCAAATGCCGGTGCGACAAGATTGCGAGTGCTGCAGTCAATCGGTTTTCCGTCCACCAGAGGGACTTGCCTGCCAGGCGCGCTCGCGCGCACACCCAACGCATGCAAAGTGAAACGACACCTACCTTGCACTGTGAAACTGCGAGGACTATGATGCTCTCACACATCGCAGATGGCAGAAACCCCCACTGCTTCGAACTATGTACCACTACAGCTCACTCCCTTCTAATCTGTTTGATGCCATCAGCGCGGCGGCAAAGGGCAGGTTACAAGGTCGACCTCGCACGCTGCAGATCATCACAATTCGATGCTGCTCTGTGCTAAGTTGCAGACCTCCGGATGATTCGCATGAACTCTTCTTCGCTAACCTCGTTCCAGCATCACTCCGGTGACAAGGCTCAACCTTTCCCTAGATCCTAGATTGGACCTCGCCATCATCGTCTTTGTCTGCTTCCCTGATCATTTCTTGCAGCTCCTCATCCGACATGGTCTCTCCGAGCTCCTGTTCCCCAGAAGTTTGTGAAACAGCCTCCACACCATGAGAATATTACGATTATGGTAGCTCAGCGCAAACAGCTGCTTCGAGGAAATCAGGATAACCGGGTTTTGTCATTGAGCTGGGCCTTCGCAACAGCCTTCAGATCATCGAAGGATATCTTTCCTGATGGCCCCTCGCAGTCTCGCAGTTCCCTAGATGCTTGTGGTAAAACATGAAAAGTGCAAGCAAAGACAGAGCCTTGAAAAGCTGAAAAGCTTTCAGGATCTGCTCCTTGGAGTCCTCAAAACGAGACTACGGTCGCCTGCTGTCATGAGCTCTTCTGAGCGGCCTTCTCGCTCATCTTTGCTGTCATGATTTCCAGAAACTCGTTGAAATCCAGCATTCCCTGACAGGCACAGCCCTGCACGAGTAACGTCCGACAGTCGCTTGCAAAACAGGGGCCTGGCCTGCACGTGTGAACTGCCGCTTTTGTCTAAATCGGACACCTGCCATGCCATGCAATTCAGAGTTTTCTGCTTCAGGGAGGAGCTGCCTGCCACACTTTGCCAAGTTCCCTTCCCGAGGTCATCACGATTTAACGATTGTGGATGAAAGCGCTGTTGGCTGTCTACAGCTGCTGAAACGTTAAGGCTCAACGATGTTCGAATGCCAGCAGACCCGTCATTTTGCAGGTCCTACCATGGAACCGGCATGTTATAAGTCATCTCTCCGCAAGTGAAGGCCTGGGGAAAAGCTGCGTGCTTGAACGAAGTCTTTACACAACCCGGAAGCATCCCTGAAAGTTTCCCAGGCGCGTCTCACGAAGGCTGTATGCAATTGCAATGCTTTTGCTTCAACTGGCCAGCTTGACAAGTTTTTTCAACTCTTCCTTCTTGGGCTCAAAGCCCAAGGCTCGCAGTGCCACCTGTGACAAGTGTACCAAAACAGTGCCGGTGAGCTCATTTCTTGCGATTCGCTTCAGCTGCTCTGACCTTGAGCTCCTTGGCTTCAATGGTCCCTGTGCCATCCGTGTCGAAGAGGTCGAAAGCCTCCTTTATTTCGGCCTCCCCGACACAATCAGTGCAGCCTCCACCAGCAAGCATTTGCGATGGCCTTCTGCTCATCTTTGAGCTCCTAAGAGAGCACAGAGAGCACAACCATGCTGCAGCGGACGAAACTGTGAAAAACGGGTCACTGCAATTGCACCGGGTTAAACGTGAAGTTGAGGCTGTCACAGTCCGAGTCCGCGCGCGCACCTTGCGGACCTTCGGCGGCATGGCCTGCCCTGGCCAGACACCGAAACAGGATAGTCAAAGGGACAAGCTGAGAGCCGGAAAAAAACAAGTGAGTTGTGGCAGAGTGTCATGCATCAAATGCACAGCCCTGCATACATGCATCCCTCTGCCGTTTGGTAAGCACTTTCTTCCCTCATCCCCCTTCTGTCACGCTGCTGAGATTTGAACATGCAAGCTTCCACTGCCAGTAGCAGTGACCAGCAACGACTGTCGGAACACACAACTGGGCAGTACGGAACCTTGATGAAGCACGCATGTCAAGGCAAGGTTAGCATTGCCGGAAACACCAAAGAGCCGAGATGTCTCCCCACAACTCGGTTCCTCTTCGACTGCTGCATTGGCCAGGTGCCGACTCTCAGCACAGTGCACGAAACCACATGCTGGCTCTGCCGCAGTACGATAACTAAAACTGGACACTGCGAGGGCTTGCAATACCCTGATCTGAGCAGCATCGCTAAACGAATTCGTAAGAGAAACGAAGGCGCCCACGGGCGCATCATCGCGGAGGCTGGTGCCTTAAGCGAGTCAGCTGAGATTCGAATCAGGAGCAACCAGAGATGAAAGCACGCTGGTTCCGAGCTTCCACCTGCCCTCGAATGTCATGCTCACAAAACCAGCTGCTTGGATTCTCCGACAATTGGTGGTGGATGCCCTCACCTACACCTGAAACCTGGACCTAGGCCTCAAGCGATGTCTTCGCTCCAGGTGGCTTGCGGCACGGGCAAGGCAAACCCCTTATCATCATCCACTTGATGACACAGCTGGTCTCACGACCTCTCTCTCCCTGCAGACTTGCTGCCGCGGCAGCTTTGCTGGACTTTCTTTGACTGTTTGTCTCAACTCCTTCGAGAAAGCTCCAGCACCTTAACCCTCAAACCCTGCCCGGAAAACACTGTTGGACCGGAGTTTCGACGAGAAGGGCGAGAGATGTTGCCATGACAAGACTAAATAAGCGCGGGCCTGCAGCCGGGTAGTTAGTTGTCTTTGGTGCTTGGCACTGCGTGCAGACGGCAACGTGAGCACCCAGAATTAGCTGAGGTCGTAATGGAACTTAGTCACTCAGGAAAAACGTCTCTCACTTCCAACTTCATTGAGTGAGTGAATGAGAGCATGAGAAACCTGCCGGTTGCACCTGCCCCGGCGTGGCGGACACACCCTCCCTCAGTCTCTGGTCTTTCTCAGGCCGTGTGGAGGCACGCGCTCTGTTGAGGGTCTGCCTCTGTCGTGTCCGTTTGATTTCCTCCCTCCACGTTTCAGTCCCTCTCTCCCACGGACAGGCAAACAGATGGCAAGAGGTTGTTACAGGGGAGGGTGAGCGTGAATTGGACTTCAAGTTGTTGGAACTTCGACCTGGCGATGAGTAGGATGTGCTGTTTTGGCTGGGCTAGAAAAGACCTTGCTGATTTGCATGCGGTGCTATCTTAGTAGCCGTACCCTGTCAAATGTCAGCAGTCGGTGCATGCTGCGGGTGAGAGCTCCTGGCAGGCTTTGGGCTTCAACAAGCTTCAGCCACAGCGCTGCACAGAAAACATGGCTTGAAACTTGGACCGAGGGAGTTGCAGCTTCACCCGCCATCTGGCGTACTGGATCTCAAAGTCTTTCTTCGTGGTCTGCTCTCCGGCTCGAGGAGTCGTCGGATGGTCCTCGAGTTGGCAGCCAAGCTCGGGGGATGTCTGCTGAATCTTGACATTGATTTCCGAGTCCAGTGCTTGGCTCCGTCCGTGCCGGAAAGCGTGGGCCGACCATCGCCGGTACTCACGAGTCGCCTGAGGCCGCGCAGCCACTACCCCTCAAGCATGTGTGATCGGTGTTGCTGCACCAGCCTACCTTGCCGATTCTGATCTGGTACTCTCGACGATTGAACCGTTTGGCCCATCCTGCATGAGGCAATGCAGGAAGGCTCGACATGCACCGCTGTCCTCTCGTAAGCCGACGAGTCAAAGTGCCCAGCTTGCCTTCACGAGTCAACTCTCCCGCCGCTTCTTTGTCAAGCTTCACCTTGAGTTTGTGGGATGCAAGACACGTCCAGATCCGCCTGTTAGTGTCAAGGGCCAGGCGGAAAACACCACCGTACCTCCCCGACTCTTACGAGCCGTCCAGCTTTGATCGATGTGCCACCTTACTGGGTTCGAGCCCATGCGAGCATCGCCAAGATCGCTGGGCTCTGCGAAGTCTGAAGCCTTGCGGCAAGTTGAGCACGAGAACAGGGTCCGTCACCGCGCAGCGCTGCATGCGCTGCGCATGCGCTGCCTGAAAACAGTCCGACATGTAGCCAGCTTCTGGCTCGGCGGCAGAGGATCCTGCGCCCATGGAAACAAACTTTCACGAGCACTGCACCACTGCAGCAAAGCCACGGCTTATGTTGGCACCTGGCAGCTTTGGTACAGGCCCGTGAAGGCGGACAGCGGACAGCCGCCCTTCTGGACCTCCAGTTGGTGCCACACGGCACGAGCAAATCGAGCGCTATCATGTTCTGTGGACTGCACGAGACACCGGTGGTGGTGTGGAATGCGATGCGGCCATGCGACCTCAGGCCACAACCAAGCAGGCGGATTTTTACAATCCAGTTGTGTTGGCCTTCTGGATCGTGATCTTGGCGCAAACGACCTCCAAGGAGCACCCGAGTGTTCAGATGATTTGGAGATATCTGCACTCGCCTCGCAGCAGCTGGAAGGGTTGGCTACACCTCGGACAAACAACATCCACCCATCATCCATCAATAGATATCCGGAAGTCTGTCTGAACTGAATCTCTGCCTACAAATCCCCGTGACGTAGGGACAGGTCAGAATGGCCCACCATCGTACGAACAGCGTACTTTCTGCTGCGGCTCGGGTCTTGTCTGACCCACAGGCTCCCATGCACCTCCAGTTTTCTGGTTCATGCGATCTTGGTGCAATCACTGGCAGAATCACTGGTGCCCTCACCCTCGCACGTTCTGAGCCCTCATCTGCTTGCTGACACATCTTCTCAGTTCACGCTCACTCGAAGTTATTAAAGCATCGACTTCCACATTCAGTAAAACATCATCTGATGCGACTGAACCGAAAGTGTGT